CGTTCTCAAGCCTCCTTACAGGAAGACAGCATCCACTTGCTAAACTTTTAGCCTTAAAGGGACATAATATCACCAAAGAAAAATGGCAGTTTGCCCCAAACCAGGTTTGATATGTAGGGCGTCAGATATCAGAACAAGGGATACACTTAGATCCAGATAGACTTCATGGTGTCTTAGTTTCCCAAAACCCAAAACCAAATGCCAACTGTGAGATTTTCTTGGTCTAGTTTGTAATTGCTGAAATTGTGACAGGTTTCCTTGGGCTAGACCTTAATGGCTAAAATTTGATTCCAATTTTTCCCTCTTATGGCCAAACTTCTGTACGTTTTACTCAACAATAACAACACAACTTAATTTTATGGGAAGAATTGGATGACATAGCCTCAAGGTCTTAGAGAAGAGTTTGCTGAACCCACCTGCCCTTGAGCTTCCCAATTATCAAATTCCATTTTTCCTTGTTGTATATGAAAAGGAAGGGAATGCCCTTGGGGTACTCACCCCAAAACATGGATTCACCATTGACCCATAGGGTATTATAGCCAACAGCTGGACCCTGTGGCACGAGGATAACCCCCTTGCCTTGCTGTGATCCTTCTAAACCTCACATCCACCCCTTTTGGAATTCATAAACTCTCAACCTTTGAGCTAGTCACAGTATACCCAATGAACTTGGCTCCTACTTCTTTAACCTACAACTGATAAAAGGAGAGATACTCCAATATTGCAAAGGCCTAATTGCTTCTATTAAAAATAACCATGTTTTGGTGGATCAGTCTTTTCACAGTGCACCCTTGGGGGACAAAGACCTTAAGCATCACAACTTGCAACCTGGAGATTTCATCTATCACAAAAGATACATCCAGAAGAACTCTCTTCAACCTTGCTGGAAAGTACTCTATCAAGTACTCCAAACAATCCTTGTGCTTCCAGACTCGAAGGAATAGACCCCTGGATTCATGAGACACACCTAAAGAAAGCATCGAACCTTAACTGAAACTGCACATCATCTGGTGACCTGAAAGTAAAGATTTTCCAGAATTGAAGCAGATGACATCTGATAAGACAGCTTTCCCAAGATATCTGGACCAGGCCTGTTGGAAGTTTGTCACCAAGCCTTTGATGATGGCATAATGCCTCAGGAGATCTCTGATGTCTATGATTTTGATAACAGGACTTTAGATAAAAAGTGCCTGAGAGTCCTCCTTCCTCCTCCTTGTTACTCAAATGTGACCTTAATAGGCTTCCAATCTGTGCACTTTCCCTCTGATGTGAGACACTATACCCAGGAATGGTCCTTCTTGACATTGAGGGACAAAAAGCCATTGAAACTAAAACCCCTGACTCTTGATAGCAGTGCTTTCAGAGAAAAATCCTGATCAAAAGGGGAAAATGTAAAAAATTAATAAACAGAAACCTCAATTAAATAGAGTTGGGAGACCAGAAGGGGGAACTCTCACACCCTCTGGTGATAGAACCTAACAGGAAGAAGAAAGACTCCTTTCCTGGCAGGGACTCAGCCAATGAAAAGCTATGAGCTCTTTGTTTTATTTATGGTCTGTATGTTTTCACACTGGACTGAAGCCTTTCCTTGAAGACAGACGGCCTCTTCTGTGGCTAAAGTCTCTTTAGAAAAGGTTATCCCTACCTGGGGAACTCCTCTAGAACTGTGAGGAACCCATCTTACTGGCCAGGTGCTTTGAAAAGTCCTTTTCCTCTCTATAAAAGTGTTCTCCTTCCTTTGCCATGCCGGGACTTGCATGTGGTTTGGCATGGTTGCAGACCCCAAATTGCAATTCTCTGCTAATCCTGAATAAACCCATCTTTGCTGGAGAAATATTTGGCAGTGTTTTTGTTTCAGGTCAACAGTAGTCTGTGTGCTAGCATGTGCACTGCTAATGGGTTTGTCATTGTTTCTATGCTTTTTCAGTGGGCAGAGTAAGGAAATCCTTTTTATTTTATGAAGATAATATATCATGAGTTCATAATGATATTTCCAATTCAAGTTTAAGAGTATAGGGCTATTTCTTAACCTCTGATTTCTATTTCAATCTCTTTTCTCTCACACTAAAAATCTTAATTCTTAAACAATATTAACTTAATTATGTACTAGTTTATTACCAACAATATGATTACAGAATTAGTTTATTTTTTGCAGTTCTTTTTGCCTTATGATATATCCCACTAGGGACATATGGTCAAATTACTGTATTTTAAATCACTTGAAATAACTCTTCTCTGTGTGGTTAAGCCACTAACTCTAAATACCCACTAAAAAGCCACTAAATAAATATACATTTATTTAAGTGTATTTGGTTTTTTGCTTTAAATTCTAAAATAGCTCTTTAAATTTCAATTTAATTTAGTTTTATAGTTTTGCATAACAATCACATGGTTTCACAATCAAATCCACTCACTCAGAGACGTCTGGCACACATTCTTATCCTTTTCAACCTGTTCTCTCATCTCATAGGTAGTCTAATATTTGGCTTATCCTTCCATTTTTTAAAAATATAAACAGATACATCTCTTTATATATAAGCTAGCATACTTGACACCCTACTCTGTACCTGGCTTTTTTCCAATAATATATCCTAGTGATCACTCCATAGCAATATACAGAGATAACCCTCTTTCCTTTGTACAGCTGCAGAATACTCTGAAGGGGAGCACCCCAAAATATGCCACTTTGGCATATTGATTGGTTTGAATTAAAGGTACTTGAGAAACAAGTACCTTTATTATATGGGATTTAGAGAATTTGGAGAAAATAAGCTTTCCAGGGAATTTTGAGACACGAATCTTAAGGTTTTAAGTTCTGTTAGCCATTGCCATTCTTTTCACTAGAATGTCCCTTGATAGGTTAATTTTACCTATAGCATTTAGCATAGTACCTGGCATACAGTAGGTGCTTATTTAAAGCCTATTTAAGAGCTGAATGAATCCCTGCCTTTTCCCTATGTTGTGATTTAATACCATCACTAATTTAAGATCTGTTAGATGGAACCAGAAAATGGAATATACTGGCTTCACTTTCTTGGGACACACATTAAGGAGCAAGTGTTTACTAAATTGTTTGTCCTTTTTCACTGTTTATGTTCAATTTTTGAATTTCATTATCTTCATCCATTGTTTATCCTTTCCTCAATATTGAGCTTCAGTTCTCATCAGAATTCACTTTTTCTTAACCAGGGCTAGCTCTCAAAAATTATATACATTGAGTGTTTCATAAAGAACTATTTCATTGAAAGCAACAAAAATCTCTTCTCTCCAAGATTTAACAGCAGAGAATGTTTGCTAAATGTTTTAAAAAATATGCTCATTTTAGAAAATATCTCCAAACTTTCCATTCCTAAAATAAAAAATCTAGTTGGTTATCATTCTCTCTATACAATTTCATATTTTGCTCTTTTCACTTAATAAGTATTTTCCCGTGACATAAAAAATTTTGAAAGAATATTCAAAGTGAGTTAAAATACCTCAGAGGACCCTGTGTACAAATTCAGAGCACCAGAAAGAGTATTTGTGTCTCTCCCCCTTACGTATACAGTGATTGAAAGTGTCAGCTGCCTCAAGGGTATGATGTGAAAATTTTGTTTAAAAATAGAAATTGCAGGGGGTGTGGGTTCCATCCTTGGTCAGGGAGCTAAGATCCCACATGCCTCGTGGCTAAAAAACCAAAACATAAAACAGAAGCAATATTGTAATAAGTTCAATAAAGACTTTAAAAATGGTCCACATCAAAAAAAAAAAAAAAAAAGATAATTCACCTTGAAAATAGTCTGACAAAGTTTGGTGCTAACTAAATAAATCCTGACATATTTTTTACGGAAGAGACAGACCAGTACTGGTGGTTCTAGAGCTGAAAAGTATGAAGCGTGCCCATAAGGTTCCTCAACCTCTGTGCCTGAGTGCTCGACTGTGTTGGGACTTATATTTATGAAGTATTCGGGAATTTATTCAAAGATTCAGAGAACAGAAAGTGATGAAAATAGAACCCAAAATGAAAATGACACTTTTCAAGTAGACCGTTGTTATGCCTTTTGGAGGGATGGGAAAATACGGAGGGATTTCCCTGACTTTTTGTGGGGCAGAACAAGAATATCTGATTGGTGAGAACATAAGTACCAAAATGACCTTCGGTCACCCTTACGTTTGGCCAGTAACTCTAGGGATATAAACAGGTGGGCCACAAATCCAAGCGCTGATGAACGACCTACACCAGCAGAATTTCCTTCTTCCTTCTGGATCAGAGAGCGTATCCTTCCCAAAGTTGGACCCCCAACTCTATAAGACAAGCTACTTTCTTCACAGTTTTCTGGGTATCAGCGTGACAGTCTCATCCCTGCCTTCACTGGGAGGAAAAGGAATGCAACCTCCACCGGCCTCAGCCGTACGTTGAAGCACTCGGGAATCTCCCGGATGTGAAGCAAGCGCCTCAGAAATACGCCAACTGCCAGGGACTGCAATAGGCAAAAGGGGAGAGAACGCTTAAAGAGGTAGGTGAGAAGGCATTTTATTCCTCTAATTTTTTTTTTTTTTTTGCGGTACGCGGGCCTCTCACTGTTCTGGCCTTCTCCCGTTGCAGAGCACAGGCCCCAGACGCGCAGGCTCAGCGGCCATGGCTCACGCGCCCAGCTTCTTCGCGGCATGTGGGATCTTCGCGGACCGGGGCACGAACCTGTGTCCCCTAGCATTGGCCGGCGGACTCTCAACCACTGCGCCACCAGGGAAGCCCTGTTTTCAACTCTGACTCGCAGCTGTCGCATACGGAAATTCTATAGCCACTCCAGTTTGAGGACCCCACCCAAGACTCTAGAGACAAGCGGCGCACGGCCAGCTCTCTACCCCAGGCCTAACGGACCACTCTGGGAGGAGCCTAATGGGTCCCGCCACTGCGGCCTAGAATGCCAACAAGTAGGGTAGGAGAGGCTGGAGATGGGGGCGGGACGGCGCGTCTGCCTGACCGCTGATTGGCTGAGGGCACTCGTTGCCTGGCGCCATTTGTTGTTGGAGGGGCGCGCCTGACGCAGCCTGCGTCCTGCACGTGCAGCCGTTTACGCGGCGTCAGCGCCTGCGAGAACTCTGGGAGAGCAAGCAGCGGAGAGGTGAGTGGCCTAGCGGCTTTTTCCATCCCGTACGCGCCTCGTCCCGACCCTCTGGGCTTCCCAGTAGTTGGACTTTGGGCCGACTGAAGGACGGACGAGGTGGGCGGGGGTTTGAAGCCGTCCTTTGGCGTCATTCTGCTTTCTGCCGGAGGGTCCAAAAGCACCGTGGGTGCCCAAAGTCTGAGGTTGAGGCCTGCAGAGGAGGTGAAGGAGCCTTTTTGACCAGCCCCTGCTTGTCTTTTTCTCTGAGTAGGGATGGTTGTAGTAACACTGTGTATAAATCCTCCTTGGCGAAGCCAGTCCTTTGTTGGAGGTATTCGGCCCACCTAACCACTGCTTCCTTCCCTGCCAAACTTCGAGGCCTTGATCCCCGCCCCCCCTCCAAGAAACTAAGTAAAAAACCTCAAGCTAAACGGCTTACCTAGTTTTGAAGGGAGGCATGTGAAGGGAGAAACCTTGAGTAGTATCTGAAAAATGTCCCCTCCCCTTAATATACAATAAGACGTTTGAGGACCCTTCGATGGAGACGATAAATTCTTAACAACAGATTTTGGGAGAAAGCCTAAACATCAGTGGGGACATGGTGATTAGGTAAGTGGTTCAACTGATTTTTAAAGAGAAAAAGGATGGACATAAATGCTGTCTCTAGGGAAGAAACAAAACTTAATTGCTTGTTTTTTTTTGTTTTTTTTTTTTTGCGGTACGCGGGCCTCTCACTGTTGTGGCCTCTCCCGTTGTGGAGCACAGGCTCAGCGGCCATGGCTCACGGGCGCAACCGCTTAGCGGCATGTGGGATCTTCCCGGACCGGGGCACGAACCGGTGTACCCTGCATCGGCAGGCGGACTCTCAACCACCGCACCACCAGGGAAGCCCTAATTGCTTGTTTTGCAAAAACTTTTTGGGAGGATCAACACTTAGTTGAGTAGTTTGGAGGGGTATATGTGAAATGATGAGGGTTTATGCTTTTAAAGATATGATTCTGATCTCTCTGATTCTAATTGAGGCTAAATGTGCATGTTTGTATTTTTATGAAAATAGAACTGGAAGCCACCATGGGAGATGAAGATTGGGAAGCAGAAATAATCAAACCTCGTATGTCTTCCTATGTTCCTGTATTTGAGAAGGTAATAAAATTCAAAGTTTGCAGTTATTAAATGCTGCAGATTTTATCGAAGTTGAAAATCACTGTGGTGAGAAAGTTCTAAATTACAGTTTGTTGTGCTTATCTCGGTGTGATTGTTATTAACTATCTCATGGCGAATGATGAAGAGGCACGCTAAGCCTCAAATAGAATAAAATAGTCTGAGGTAATTTGATAATTAAAAACTAAAATGTATATAATAATATTAACAATTTAATTTAAATCTCAATGATTTAGGACTTGTGGGTGAAAGCAAGCTTATGCTAATGTGGTTGAATGTTTCTGAGATACAGTCATATAGAAAACTGAAAAAATTTAATTTGATTTTGGTTGATGTTTTGAATTCTGAAAATTGGTTTCCTACAAGCAGGGCTCTCAAGATAAAAACATTAGGCTGATTCAGATGGTAACATCAGTTTGATCTTCAAATGTACAAATCAGCAGATCTTTTTTCTCAATGGTGTTTGAAGAGTTACATTGGAATTCAGAAGAAGGGGTTATGGAGTGGGTTTTGGATTTCAGTTTTCACTTGAAAATTGACTTAATAAGGTGAACAGACTCTACTTTAGAAGATAGTGTATTTTAACGGGTTGCTTTTACATAAGTGTTACATACTTGAAAATGTCTCCAAAAGTTGATTTTTTTCCTTTTAGAATTTCCAGTTGGTGTTTATGTTAGTCAATTCTGACACTTTCTATTTCAAAGTGATGTCTTAGTGGAAATTCTTAATTTACCCCAAATCATAAGATAAGTAATTCTTTGTCTCAATTGGATTTGATCTGTATGTATATAAAGTTTATGTTAAAATATCTAAAATGTTAATCTGAATTTATCGTGTTTCTTGTTTTGGGACTTACTTTAGAAGTAACATCTTTTGTATGTTATCTTTTTACAGTCTTCCCATCATAAAAATATTGGAACACCATTGGGAAAAGAGGAGAAAAATCACCTAACAGTCTTGCTCACTAGCACAAATGCTCTGTTTTTAGTAAATTTTCTTCTATTTTTCCCAAACATGTTTTTATATAGATTGTAATGATAGTACATAATAATAATTTTTGATTTCAGCTTTTTCACTCTTCAGCATTAACTATTCCATATTACTAATTTCCTAAAAATAATTTCTAATGGTTATATAATATTTCATGGACTAGAGCTACCATAACATAAATAATTTTCTGTTGGTGCGAATTTAAGATGTTGTTATCTTTCCACTGTAATATTGTCATGAATATCTACAGTTTATTCTTTGTTTTAATTTGGGAGTATTTTTTTTCTAAAATGGAATTACTTGGTCAAAGAATATTTTATGGTTCTTTCTTTCCCTGGTTCTCAACAGATTTGTTCTAATACAAAGTTTAACTCACAAATACAGATGTTCTTCCACTTGGACTTGTCTAATTTTTATTTTTTCTTACTCTGAGATTTTGTCTTCACTAAATACTCTTCAAACAGTATACTTACTGCACTGTAGCATGTTGTGCATGGTTATTGCAAAGGGTGTCTGAAATTGAGGATGGTCAACTGTCAGGCTTCTAGATTTACCTTTTGGAAATCTTTGTGCTATTCAGTAACATACTTTGTTTCTTGATATTGGTCATACTGAGTTGAATATTAATTTATGTTAACATTTCTACCTTATGATTCTTAGTATCTATTTGTGTGGGGCCAGTTTGTAGTAAACTTTTTGCACTTGTCTGCAAACTTAACACCTGGTACTGGTTGTGCAATTAGTTATTTGGCCTACTTGACTTGAAGGAACATGGTGCAATCAGTGGCTCTGTTTGCCTGCCTTGGTTGAATAAGAAATGTAGAAACTTAAGGATAAATATATGACGTTTTTATGTAGGAAAAATGAGGTCTTTTCTTCAGCCTATTTTCTTTTTTTTTTTTTTTTTTTTTTTTTTTTTGGCGGTACGCGAGCCTCTCACTGTTGTGGCCTTTCCCGTTGTGGAGCACAGGCTCCGGACGCGCAGGCTCGGCGGCCATGGCTCAGGGATCCGTGTCCCCTGCGTCGGCAGGCGGACTCTCAACCACTGCGCCACCAGGGAAGCCCGCAGCCTATTTTCTTTTAAAGGCACCATTTTGATTGGTTGTTCTAATTGAATTTCCATTTCAAGAGACAGCTGGGCTTCCCTTTTGTTCAATTTATATTGGCTCTGAGACCATCTTAGATTGGTAACAATATCTGTGATCAGCCTTTTCTTTCTTTTATTAATTTTTAAAAATTGGAGTATAGTTGATTTACAATGTTGTGTTAGTTTCTGCTGTATAGCAAAGTGAGTCAGTTATACATATACACGTATATCCACTCTTTTTTAGATTCTATTCCCATATAGGTCATTACAGAGTATTGAGTAGAGTTTCCTATGCTATACACTAGGTCCTTATTATGTGATCAGCCTCTTCTGAATGCTTCTCAGGATCCTTACTTGGAGATTTAATATTGATACATGCTTATATAATTTTGAACTAACAGGCTACTATTCTGGTAGTTCTCAGAACTTCCCAATTCTAGTTTTTGAAGTGAGTGTACCACCTGAAGATAGAATAATAAAAGATGTGGGGTTGAGAGAAATTTGATAATGTTAACAGTTACAGCAGTCCAGAAAACCCAGTGGTTAGGCATTTGCACGTTGCATGCAAACTTGTTGGGATGAGTGGTGGAATGGATGAGTATGATGACTGTAACAGGATGCTGGGTTTGCTTGCTAGTTGTAATGTTTCTTGTTAGATGACCCTGGGAGTAAGTCTACACAGTGATCACTTCTGTCTGATCTTTTTGCCTTTTTTGTGGCATATTTCAAAGGCAGATACTCTTGTGATTAAAGTGGAAACAGCTTGAGATAATTAGTCCATCCACAATTATTTTATTAAGTAGTAAAAGCAAAGTTTGTAATAATTGTTTAGATAAGAAAGTAAAGTTCATGGCTTCTTTGTTCATGTTCATACTGCAGTTCTGAAGTAGCAGGGGAAAATGTGGTGGTTGGACATCGTTGGGTTGGCAGACCTAAGGAAGTTGATGTGCCGGAGCCTGAGGAAGATTTCCAGCAATTTCTGCTTCTAGTCATCAGTGAGATGTGGGAAGATACTGTGTCTCTTACTCAAGAGCACAGAAAATCATATATGTGGAATAGGAGCAAGTTGTGGGAGATACATAATATGTTCATCCAAATAAAAACCCAGGAAAGTGCTCTCACTCATCTCCCAAATCTAAATGACGGCATCAAGGGCAGAGTGACAAAAAAGTATGGGAAGGCTGAGAAGAAGGCTAAAGAGATTGCAATGATGGTAGAAATGTTGGTCGAGTTAGTCCAGGGGATAGAGAAAAGTGAATCCTCTTGAAGGAGGATTGGCAGTTTATGACCAAAGGATTCCAATGAACTGATGGAGATTGGCTGATGCCCACGAGAACCTAACACCAGAGAGAGAGTCTTTCGTTTTCTCCCTTTTTTCTCTGTATATACTCTGTCCTCACAGTAGGTTTGTGGTGTAGTCTGCAGTTGATAACGTCGACGTGAGTTTTGATTGCTAAATGTTTTTGTTTGGGGAAATAACTTTTATTTGGAAAATGCTGTCACATGCAGAAATTAGGGCTTAGGTTGTAAGCATTTGCAACAGACACATTTGTTCCTGGGCTTTGGTTATTGTTTCTATTTTGAGGTGATTTGCTCTTTCTTATGTGACATGATAGGTCATCTGGAACCTTAGGTCTGTGTGTGATACATGACACTCAGAGTTGGAGTTCTCTAGCTCTGGAGGTGCTGAAGGAGCTGCATTAATTCTAGAAGATGACTCCATGCAGCAATTGCTGGAGAAACTGAAGAAGGGACCAGACTTCAACTGGGAATGTGAATGGGGCTGATCTGGCTGGGACTGATGAATCAGAAGAAGGGATGGAGGATGGTATTGTCTGTATTTGGGGGCTTTAATTTCTGTTTTAGATCATAGGAGGAGAGATGTATTTTGTTCAAAATTTAAATTTTACATGGCATGCTATCTGATGCAACCTATCTGGTCAGTTTATTTGGACAATGTAACTCGGCTTTATTTGACATGGAACCTAGAATAGGAGATGAGATCTTGGTATTGTGTACAAGTTGATTTAGTACTCTGATGCATTTCAGGGTATTCTGGGCATAAAATGGAGGATATTTGCAAAGGTCCTTAAAGGGCTGGGGAAGAAACACATGGAACTGTCTGCATAGGTCACTGAATGGACAGGGAAGAGGCATCTTCAAGGTTCATAAGCTGTCCAGCTATAAGTTCGCTTGAGTAGCAGACCTGACAAGTAATTGAGATCAAAATTCTACCATGTTTTAAAAAAAAACAACTTAACATGTTAATGGAAGTATTCATTTGTTTGGAAAGACAAAAGATCTAAAAAAAAAAAGTAAGATATTCCAGAATAGAAAATAATAAGAGTACGTATAAGGTAAAAAGAAATGTGTTCATCAAAATGCAAATAGATTATTTGTAGCTACCTGTGAGAATCCTTATGTTTAAAACATTTTGAAATTTCTCAGTTGGTTCATTTGAATGGATAAAGAGGTTATAAATATTTTATAGCTAAGTGTTCTAAAAATAAGGTAATGTTAAGACCTGAGACTCATTCAGCACATTTTTATTATTATTATTATTTTTTGGCTGTGTTGGGTCATTGTTGCTTTGCTGGCTTTCTCTAGTTGCAGTGAGCAGGGGCTACTCTTCGTTGTGGTGCGGTGGCTTCTCTTGTTGCGAAGCACAGGCTCTAGGCGCACAGGCTTCAGTAGTTGTGGAGCGCAGGCTCAGTAGTGTGGCACACAGGCTTAGTTGCTCCGTGGCATGTGGGATCTTCCCGGACCAGGGATCGAACCCATGTCCCCTTCATTGGCAGGCAGATTCTTAACCACTGCACTGCCAGGAAAGTCCCAGCACATTTTTATTTCAGCCATACTTGGTGCTGGAGAGAGTGGTGAACGTGATAGATAAGGGGCTCACTGTCATGGATGTTCTGTTTTACTGGGGGACACAGAATAAGCACATTGAAAATCAAATATAGAGTGAAAAATATTATGAAAAAAATCAGGAAACTCTGTGTGTGTGTGTGTGTGTGTGTGTGTGTGTGTGTGAGAGAGAGAGAGAGAGAGAGAGAGAGAGAGAGAGAGAAAGGGAGAGAAAGAGAGGGAGAGAGAGAGAGAGAGAGATATTGGGATGGGGTAGATTTAGATTACTTGGAGAGGAAAAGCTTCCCTGAGACTATGACTCATGAGCTGGAGACCTGAAGGAGTCCCAGTAGGACATGATGTGTAAAGATCCAGAGAAGGGAACAAACTTGGGGTATCAGGGCAACAGGAGGAAGTACAATGTATTAGTTTCCTATGGCTGCTGTAACAAATTACCACAACCTAGGTGGCTTACAGTAACAGAAAAATTTCTCTTACAGTTCTGGAGGCCAGAAGTTAGAAATCATGGTGTCAGCAGTGCTGTCTTCCTTCTGTAGACTCTAGGAGATAATCCATGCCTCTTCTAGCTTCTGGTGGTTATGGGCAGTCCTTGGCTTGTGGCTGCCTCTTTTTCTGCTGTCTTCACAGGCCTTCTCTGTGTTTGTCTTAATACCCTTTGCCTCTCATAAGGACACTTGTGATGACATTTAGAGCCCACTGTGATAATCTGGGGTAATCTCCTCATTTCAGAATTCTTTTTTTTTTTTTAAATTTTTGGCTGCGTTGGGTCTTCGTTGCTGCGTGTGGGCTTTCTGTAGTTGCAGCGAGCGGGGGCTACTCTTCAGTTGCAGTGTGCGGGCTTCTCATTGCAGTGGCTTCTCTTGTTGCAGAGTACGGGCTCTAGGGCACGTGGGCTCAGTAGTTGTGGCACACGGGCTTAGTTGTTCCACGGCATGTGGGATCTTCCCGGACCAGGGCACGAACCCGTGTCCCCTGCATTGGCAGGCAGATTCTTAACCACTGCACTTCCAGGAAAGTCCCAGAATTCTTAATTATATCTGCTCGATCTCTTTTTTCCAAATAAGATAACATTTACACCTTTCAGGAATTAGGACAATATCATTGAGTGGCCATTATTCAATCTGCTATAGCTAGTATGGCTGAAGCACAGTGAGATAAGACAAGATTGGTAGAAAATGAAATCCGAGAAGGAAAGAGAAAAGGAGAGGGAGAGGACCCTGGAGATAGTGGTGGACATAGAGCTGATAGGACTGGATGGGCTGGATATGGGGAATGAAAGAGAGAGTGATGCCAGGTTTTTAAATTTAAGCAACTAGATGGATGATGGTGCTCTTTACTGAAATGGGAAATATGTGGAAGATGAACAAATTTGGGAGGGGAAAAAAATCAAGAATTCTGAATTTGCTGTGTTCATTTTGAGATACCTAAGAAAACATGTAAGTAGGAATGCCAGTCAGTAGATAATATGAATTTGTTGCTTAGGAGAGGGATCAGAGCTATAGATACAAATTTGGGAATTACCTATATATTAATGGGGTTTAAAGCTGTGAGATTGGGTAAAGTTAGATAGAGTAAAATAGACTGAGGGCTGTGCCATGAACTGTGGGGCACTCCAACTTTAAAGGAACGTTAGAGGAGGAGCTGGCAAAGGAGATTGAGGAGGGAGTGGCCAGTGGGGCAAGAGGAAAACCAGGGGAGTGTGTGTTCCTTAAGCCAGAGAAGAATGTTGGAAAGAGGAAGGAGAGTCTGTTGTTTCAAATGCTGCTGAGAGTTCTGGTAGGATGAAGCATAAAAGTAGTAATTTTATTACATAATATCCTTATTATAAGCTTTTTCAGAGCAGAGGTGAGGATGGAGGCTAGACTAGAGTGGCTTGAAGGAAAAATGGAATATGAGAAAGTGGAGGCAGCAACTGTAGACAAGATGTTTTGCCTACAAAGGAGCAGAGAAGTGATGCAATAGCTGGAAGGAAATATGAAGTTAATTCATTTTTAAGGTAATGAAAAAGGTTAAGGATTTTTTATGATGAAAGGTGAATTCTGTTGAAAAAATTTTTTTTAAAAAATTTGCCTTGGAATGTATTTGGGACATTAAATTCCACAGTCTGAAGATTGTCTAATAATAGTAATTTTTCGATTCTTTGGTGCCAGAGTGTTTCATTACTTTTTTATCAGTTATATAATGCTGAAAGCATTATAACAGTTATAAAACCAGCCCTTTTTGGGGCTCTATTCATCCAGTAATACTTTGGCCACTAGAAAAGAGAAAGAAGTCTTCAGGGTTTCAGTTTAAACAGGGAAAACTGGATTACTTTTCTTGTTTTAATGTCTATGGTAATCATAAATTGGAACTTTTTACTGTAGCCCAAGCCATTTCCAGGATTCTATTGTCTATTTTTAATAAGTTGGAAAAATAACTGGATGACTTTTGAGCTTTATAAAGGTAGTTTTTAAAGTCATTTAGTGTCTTTTGTGAAAGAAATTTTAGATAAAAGTATTACCTGAAGAGACCTACCTTGGTACGCTCCCTCCAGCTTTGGGTTTATTTAAAGGAATTTATTTGAAAAAATATTGTGATTCTTCTAATGCAATCAGTTAATTAAAGTATCATCTGTAAATTTTAGGTCACTTTTCGTTTTTAAATGATTGAATTCTGATTTTGATGTGCAAGAATTTCAGAGCTCTGTTCAAAAGTTTTGCCTTAAGTAGAGGAAGCTTGTTTGAGAGGAAATAAAGATTTAATGATGATAAGGACATCCTAGGAGTTGGAAGTGAGAAAAATGTTACTCATGTTGTCATTAACCCAGGAATACCCTGAGAAATGTTGGGAAGGTTCCAAAATTAACTTGACATTTAGCTATGAATTTTCTGAGTCCACCAGTCGTTACACCATTGCAAGCATAACGCATATGTATTAATAGCGAATAAATTTTGAGACTGAAGTAGGGAAAATGGGACAGTCAGTATTTGGGAGCATTGAAGGCAATCTTGAACTATTTCTGTGACAAATTTGATTGAAATTAACCATGAATATTCTGACCTGTAGCTGGCGTCCACCATTTCATTGGATTTTTAGTGCACCTGCGAGATAACATCTGTAGATACACTGTTTTTAGTGCATAAGTGAGGTTTTCTTTACTTTAGAATTAATTCTTTTTTTAATAATGTGAGTACATTAGTTTCACTTCATATAAAAACAATTGAAGTTTAAAAATAAATTTCTGTAGTGCTTTACTGTAGAAATTGTTATCTGCCACTCTCCTTCTGTGCTCTACTTTATTCTGTACAGATTTGATGAGTATACTGTAAAATACTGAACTCTGTAACCTATATTGTGTATTGGCAGGTATTGATTTACTCATGTATTACTTTGGTTATTGTAGTTATATAATAATAGTATTTGATTATACTTTTCAAGTAGGGTGGCTAAAGTTTTATTTGAAGTTGGGTGTCAGCAAACTCCATACAGGGCCAGGTAGTAAACATTTTAAACTTTGAAGGCCTTATGGTCTCTGTTGCGACTTTGCTATTGTAATGCAAAAGCAGCCATCGACATACCTAGATGAATTGAGCGTGGCTGTGTTCCAGTAAAACTTTATTTACAAAAACTGGTAGCCCACCAGATTTCTCTTGTGGCTGTAGTTTGCTGACCAGTGTTTTAAGTGATATATTAATACGCTATACGTACAATGTTAAAGTGGAGGTGTTTTAGAGTAATTAATAAAGGAACATGCAGTGACTCAGAAAATCTTACATTCTGTAATTGTTTTGTTCTGAACAAAACCCAGTTGTTAAAATTTTGTAGTATTTGTGAGATAGATTACACATTTTTATTATTCAAAGTAGAAAACTAGTCTTTTTTTTTTCTTACAGGATAGGTATTCTTCTGGAGCAAATGGAGACACTTTTAACAGGACTCTGGCTTCATTGTCAGGTATGTGTTAAGGCAAAAATGTAAAACCGTTTTTAGGTTAAGGGCTTCATCCAGTGGATGAGGAGCTGACTAGTAGATGTCTTGTAGAGGATGTTTTCTAAATTTTCTAGTGAGAATTCATTCTGACTTGAATATTTTGGGTTGGGGGCCACTTACAGCTAAAGGAGAGAGGAGAGAGTGTAGTGCTGTAGAGTGTATCCTTTGATTTAGTAGGTTTGCTGTAAAACCTTTGCCCGACCTGGAAGTTGCATGTTTGGCTTTCAGGCTGCTTAGGGAATTGTCAGGGTTCCTGATATAAGGCAGTAGGAGATTGGACTCTGTAAGGTGTTGAAGCAGGTTGCAGTGGTGGTGACCTGTCAGGATAACTGTTTAAACCAAACTCATATCTAGATAATATGAGTTTCTTTGGGATCTGAAAACAAATTTAGGGGAGGTCCTAGGCAAATAAGAGAAACAAATCAAGATAAGGGAGCTGTTGTTTTCTCCTACCATTTATTTCCATCTGGTTCGCCTACATATTTTATAAAGTTGATGGGAAGATGGGTGGAAGTGGTAGGTCCTGGGCTAGGAAGTTAAACTTATGGCAGTAGTGTTTCATTTTGTTGAAGTCCAAAGCAGGCTGAAATGCTATTTCTACTATTTTTCTTCAGTTTTTCTTATTGTGGTAAAATACACGTAACACAAAATTAACTGTATTAACCATTTTTAAGTGTACAGTTCAGTGACATTAAGGACATTCATATTGCTGTGCAGCCATCACCACCATCTACCTCTGGAATTTTTTCATCTTCCCAAACTGAAACTTCGTGCCCATTAAACAATAACTCGCCAGTACTTCGTCTCTTCAGCTCTTGGCAATCATTGTTTACTTTCTATGAATTTGAGTTACTGTGAATTTACTGTGAGTCTCTATGAATTTGAGTAACTACTACTTTTAAGTCTTACTCTGATGCAAGAGAGGGCCTGGTGACACCAGGTAGTTTCATTTCTCTCATCAAAAATTAGTGGATGAAGTAAAACATTTTATAGTCTAGGAAGCTACTGGCTCACTGAAGCCTGTCCCAAAGTGAAAAAACCTGTGGAGAGGTAGTTTCTAAAATGTGAAGGGGAGTTCGAGAATCAGAGTTCATTGGGTTAAAGCAAATTTAATTCCCATGTTCACCTTAATTTCAGAGTAATTCTCTCTCTCTCTCTTTTCTTAGAGTAATTCTCTTGATAGAAGGAAGTTGAGTTTAGAAGAAATGCTTTTGCTATTACCAAGATGCATTTGTCTTTTGTAAACATTTAAATGCAGCGGTTTAATATAGAATATTCAGATTCTCAGAAGTTTATGAAATTTATGCCTGCTGAAACCCCAGCAGAAGGCTAACCACATGCATGTGTGTGTACTTGAAGTATGCAAAAAAGAAAATTGGGTAAAAGTAATCTATACTTCTTAACACATCTATATGCATAGATCATTGCGTAATCAGGAGAAACCTTGTTCTGTGAGGTGTCAAAGATAATTTTTGTAAGGGAATGAAAGTTTGGGTCTATAGTATATTAAGGTATAACGTGACTTTGTAGTGAAATCATCAGTAAACTAGATTGAAATAGCCACCAACTAAAACCCTGGACTTTTCTTAGCATTAGATCTTGAATGTTCAGGCTAATGATATAAAATCAAATAATGAAAAATATAGATTGCCTGCTCACCTTCTGGATAACAAATACTTTGGTAGCTCTTTTTTAAGTAAAATATTTTTTTCATGAAAATAGATTTCCTTATTACAGAAATACATACTAGGCCAATGAATGCTATACTAAGTTAATACCTACATACTCTTATTGCAAAAAAAAATAGTGGAAAAACTTAAATATAGTTGTGAAAAGAAAGAAAATGAAGTGAAATCTTGGCTCCCAGGTTTAACCATGAGTGTCTGTTGACAGTCTTTCAACTCTGATTGTTTAGATTTCTGCATGAATCAACCAACTATGGATGAAAAATACTTGGAAAAAAATTCCAGAAAGTTCCCCAAAGCAAAACTTGAATTTGCCCTCCACTGGCAACTATTTATATAGCATTTACATTGTATTTGGTATTATATGTAATCTAGAGATCATTTAAAGTATGTGGAGGATGTTAGGTTATATGCAAAGATGACACCATTTTATATGAGGGACCTGTGCGCCTGGGGATTTTGGTATCCTTGGGGGTAGGGGGTGGGTGGAGGGGATTAGGTGGTGGATCCTGGATCCAACCCTCCTCCGATACCAATATTTAGCTCCCCCCCTTTCCCCTGTATACTCCACTCACACTTCTTCCCTTCGCACTCTCCTAATAGTTACCACACTTTTTGCATAAAAACCTATACTCAGTTTTTATATCATGGCTGTGTATATATCATTCATACGTGAACCATGTAATATATTATGGTTGCATTTCCTTTATTATTCAATCTTCTGTTTTGTTTTTTACTAGAGTTAATCATTACCTTGTTTACTTGATCTGTGTTTCTATTGCTAATTTACTTCAAAACCCTCTGCCAGAAGCACAGCTATTTATTCATATCTATTTATGTTCATAGTTTTTAACACATCTTTCTAAGCATGGATATGCATCAGACTATATTCATGGTTAGGTTCTATGACGTATACAGTGATCTATCAGTTTCATTTTTTCTTGATTCCTCTATCCTCTCCAGGATAGACTTGCCTCTCTAGCCTCTCATCCCAAGAATTACCCTTCACCTCTTTCATGTGTCACCTTTCTTTTCCCTGAATCCCATGTTTTTTCTATCTTGATTCCCCTGCCTCCCCACTTCAGTGGAGCCCATTTTCCTGCAGCTTCTTGGGAAAGGAAGCATGGGAAAGAAATTTGAGAGATTGCAAATATCTTTACTTTCATAATTGATTCATAAAAACAGAAGATTGATTCCCACTTTGAGTAACATTTTAGGTTGGAAATAATTTTCCCCCAAAACTTTATAATTGCTTCATTGTACGTGAAATACTAGTGATGCTGCTTAGTTTGATATGAGTTCTGGTCCTTTGTATATGACTTTTTCTAAACTCTTCTAAAGCTTTTAGGATCTTACTTTGTCTTCTGTATTCTGAAAATTTTATGATTGTGTAACTTGATGTGGAACTTTTTATTTATTATACACTTAGTCTATATAGACACTTAGTGAGTGGGCCTTTTAAATCTGAAATTCATACCCTTTACTTATTTTCTTATTTTTTTCTCTGAGGATTATTATAATTTCATTTGAATGTTATTTCTGTTCCCTGTGCTGGTTCTTAGACTTCTTTTCCCTGTGTTTGTTTTGTTTCATGTAGGTGACTTTCTTCAGAAGTCTGGTGATCCTTGCCTGCCTTTTTGTATTTAAGAGTGGAACATTAAAAACTCACCCCTGTGCCTGGACACAGCTTCTTGACTGATGGGTTCTACTCTTAAGTGATTGGGCCAGGGCTAGGCTGTTTTGTTGGGGAGAGCAGTTTTCTTAGAGAGGAATCATGTTGTGCTTTTCTAGAGGATTTAAGTTTTTTAAGCTCTCATTTCTTGTTTCATCCTTCCCTCCTCTCTCTTTCCTTGTTGTATTGAACAGATCCTGTGCTGCCTTTGCTGATTTCTTTTTTACCCATTTTTGAATGATTTGAATTCTTCCTAGACTAGCTATTAGAAGTGTCAGGGAATTCTTACTCCTCTACTTCCCTGAAGCAGCCATTCTTCTTGTGTGTGTGTTTTAAAAGATATGTTGTTACGTGTGCCTATTTTTTTGTGTGCTTGTAATTTTAACTTAGAAAAATGTTACTGTGCTGAAGATCTCATAATTTTTTCTTACCCCCCACCACTACGTTTATGACATATTCCTAATTGATAATTGATTGCATTATTTCTAACTACTGTATGGTATTTCATATACTTTATCACCAAGTTTTATATCCTCCCTATCCCCATGATGGACACTGTAATTACCTCTTATTCCCCTCCAGCACCACAAGGATGAACATTCTTTTACATGTCCCTTTATGGGTCTAAGTGAGAATTCTTTGGGTAATGGACTCAGGAGAGGAATTACAGGGTCATGGGGTGTATAAATACTTAATTTGATTAAATATTTAATAATTGCTTTCCAGAATAGCTATGTCAGTCTATACTCCCATAAGTAGGACCTGAGGGCTCTTATATTCCATTGACATTACTATTCAGTCTTGTGCTTTTAGCCAGCCTATTGGGTATATAGTAAAATCTCTGTTTTAAATTCGCTTATCTGATTATTTATTAGCTTAACTGTCTCTTCATATGCATGCATGTTATCTTTTTGGGTTTCCACTTCTGTAAGTTGCGTATCATATATTTAGTCCATTTTTCTATTGGGTTTGCTTTCTTCCTCTTGTTGATTGGCAGGTATTCTTTGTATGTTCAAGATTTTACACTTTTTTCTGATTTAGACGTTGTGAATATCTTCTTCCATTTATTATCTGTCAACTTTGTCCATGATATTCCTTGCTGATCAAAAATTTTAATTCAAAGCCATTAATTTTTTTTTGCTTTCTGATTTGCTTTTGCACTTTTAGTTAAGATGCTTTTCCCTACCTCTGTGTCAAAAAAGTAACCACCTAAGTTATCTTTAGAGTTTTACCTTTCATGTTTAAATTTTATTCATCCGAATCTGTACTTTAAAAAAAAAATTCATGATGGCCATATTTATTTGGGTGCCAAATCAGGACATAGTATATGTAGTATGAGTGTACATACAGGGCTCACAAAAAATAATCTTTGACGTTAGGGTTTTTCTCGTCAACTTGGGCCATGGGTCTTCAGTGATAGTGGAGGTTTTTTTTTTAAATCTTGGTAACATAAATGTAACATAAAATTTACTGTCTTAATCATTTTTTAAGGTAAAAAATGATTAAAAATTACTTTTTAGAGCAATTTTAGGGTCACAGCAAAATTAAAGGGAAGGTATAGAGTCCCCATAAACCCCCTGTCCTGACGCATGCTCTGCTTCCCCAAC